GCCCTCCACCAGCACTCACTTTTCTTTTGCACTCACGATTCTTCATTCTTTTCCTCAGTACTGAACATATGAGATGTGTTTTTTCTTTTCCAATTTAAGAAGATTTGCAATATTTAAGGAAATTAATTTCCTTTTCTTTTTCTACAAACTGTGAACCTACTAGTTCATGTAACATTTAGACTATTTGTGTGAGTGAATATTTTCCTCTTGCTGATTATTTAACAACTATGGCTTTTGGAGGCACATTCACTGGGGATTACGTGACAGTAGGTTTCTTTATGCAACCAAGACCTTCAGCTTTAGTCCCTTCTTCAGGCATTCTTTCTCCTTGTTTTGTGGGGAGAATGAGGATATGAATTTGATTGTTTCCTATTCCCAGTTATGTTTTGAGAACTTCTCTCCCTGTTAAAGAGAAACCATAAACTTTCTTGCATTATCTGGACTTAATTTCACAGGTATGCACCATTCTTTCTCTTTCCCCCGTGTCATATTATTATTCTTGTTCCTTTCTTCTTAATCATAATCATAACTAAACATAACTCTAATGCCCAATACTTTTGTCTTTCCTTGATCCTTTTTAACACACTTCTTTACCTTTCCTTAAGTCTGAGGCCCTCCATCATGTTCCAGAGAGTATTGTGGACAATTCTTGCTCCCTTTACTTCTACACTGTAACCTGTCCCACTTCTACTATTTCCCTGCTCACTAGGCTCTTTACTGCAGAGAATTGTTGGGTAGGGGTGCTCTACTATTTCAGTTTGTCTTCTATGGCATCTTCACCTGGCCCCTTTCTTTGCCCAGAAGCTTTGGGGGTATTCCTAATTTGATTGAATTACAGGCTAATGCTGTCCATCATCAATCCTCACTTTCATCCTTTGTTTCCATGTTGTCACAAACCCAACCTTCTACCAATGTACCTCAACTTAGTCCCCAGTTCCTGCCTTTTTGATTTTCACTTTCCAACTTTCCTATTCAACCTAGAATCAGAATCAAAGAGCTCACTGGTGATGATTAAGTGAAGTCAGGTCATGGTTTGAGCTCCCATGGTCATGCTTTTCTGTCCACACAGGAATTACTCTATCTTTTTATTCATGGACTTTCTCTCCAACTCTCTTCCTCTCCTTCTCTCATCCCTCATCATGTTTCCTCCTCCTGATCCTATCTGTGTACAACTTCTAGAGGTGAAAGTATTTGTAAACACTGCGAACATTTTCCTCACTACTGCTTGATATTCATCTGGGAGTATTTTTCAAATAATTTCTCATCTGAGCTTAGCCTTTTTCTATCTGCCTGCAAGCTGTGGAACTATTAGTCACCAGGATCCATGCCTATCCTACTTATACTGAGTGAGAGGTTTTATGTTTGGAGACTGTGACTTCATTGGAACTGCTTCTCCTTTCGGGTCACACATATTTGCACCTCCTCTGTTGGTCCTTGAGTGACCAGAGGGGCTCTCATGGGAAACTTTCTCAACAGTTAACATGTACTCTACTCTACTCAAGGATGTGTAGTGGTGGCTGGAACAATCCAATATTCCTATCTGTGTTCCATTACCTCTACCCAAACTGGATCTACACCTCTGATTGGGGAGCATCTCTGCACAACAATTTGACATTTGGACCCAGGATTAGTTTTCTTTCCATATTAATGCTCTTAAACTTCTGGTAGTTTGTTATGCATTCCTCCATTTTTTACCCCCCTACTAGAACATTTCATTGCAATACATTCGTATGACTTCTTGGTTTTCCTATATCAACTGTCTTGAGGAAACCCAATCCAGGACCTCTTGCTTTCAAACCCTGGGCCTTCCTTATTGGGCTAATTCTCAATGGGTTCATCTCATCGGCTGCTAAGCACTGGGTGTTATGAACCTGGATGTGAACTATCTTACTCGACCAGGTCATGTTCTGCCCAAGGAATCATTTCTTCACCTCTAGGTTCCCATTGGGAGTGCTCATCTTGGAGACTCCACTCATTTCCTGCTTCTTCTCTTCTGATTACCTATTCCCTTTCTCTTGGCCCTGGCTTTCAGCCAGGACTGATCTTATCTTTTTCATTATGCTTACCCACCTGTCCATCTTTTATCTCAGGTCCTGGCCTTGATTTCAGACACACCTTGTTGTGTCCTTTTCGTGGTACCCCTCTGGCTGACTCAACATTGATTCCTTCTTCTATGCCACCTGACAACCCAATCCCATTTTCCTCTGCCAACTATACACTCTCTCTGTTGCTTCAACATCACACATCACTGTTACATCACAGAATCTTGTCCCTTCACCTTCAGGATTTGTCATGTCCATCACCCATTGAACTGGACTTTCTGAGTTGGTAGCCTTTTTTCTTTCCCATTCCTGTTGTCCTGCTACCTTATCCATTTACAGGCATAAGTGGCATGTCTTTCAACTTTGATCCATCTGTTGCCACATTCCTCCTGACCTTTCAACCATCGGCCATCTCTCTTCCTTTTACCTGACTGTTCAACAGTGATTCAGCAGACTCCACCCATGCCAGTTATTGGACAGCCTTGTCTACAACATTTTGCCTTTCTCAATACCTCAAGGTGTTTTCTTCCCTAATTCTTTCCACCTTGGTATGGTTCTTTCTTATCCATAGACCTACTCACCCTATTTCCATTCCCAACTGGGATGTCAGTGTCATTCTGCATGCTTTTACCTATGCCCCTTTCGAGTTGTTGGCAATTTACAACTTGTACCATTTCTCTTAAGAACTATTTCCTCTTTCTTCTCACCTATGATTGCCATCATTTGTATATCTATGCCATTAACTTTTCCTGTATTCCTTTCTATCATTTTTATAATCTTCTTTATCTTGACTGGTCCTACCTCCCTAAGATTTCAGCCACTCAGGAAGATAACTGCTCCTTTCCTCCATTTCACTCCTCTATGATTGATCGGACCCAGACAGACCTTTTTGCATTGCTTATGACATTTGTTGCTACTTGTACCTCTCATTTTCATGGCTTCTGTCAATTTCTATATTTGGTCTACTTCTCATTGGTGGTTGATGCTTGCACACTGCTCCACATTTCAGTTCATCAGGTTAGTCACCTCACTCATTCCCTTGCTACTGGTTTCCGATAGTTGCTGGATGAGATCTTTCAAGCTGGCAAATGGACTACCTCACACACACACCTTCATTGACCATTATCTTCACCATCTGGCTGTTTTGTCTCCTGAAGGTTACTGCCTGCCTCCATACTACATTTTACTCATAATTTTGAGACTGGTGAGTTTGTTTCTTTCTTCTTATTACAGCATTTGCATATAAGATCCTGCCAGCTGGCTGATGGTTTCTCACAGGGTATATGTATTTTCCAAAATTCTGCATCAAGCCAAGATAATGAAAATGCTCATACCACTCACCCTAGGTCAATATGTGCCCACTATTGAATGGGGTGTTCTACAAGACCACTTGAGGTATCCTCATGGTATATCTGACTACTGTCTGATCCAGACCACACCTATTCCATGGACTATCATGGAAAAAGCTCTGCCTGCTTCCCTGGCTTGTGGTTGCTGGCTTTTCAAAATAGGGATACAAAATAATCCATTATATTGTCTCCACCAAAAGACCTTTCCAGTTGGAACAGTACAGATGGGGATCTGGTCATTTTCTGTGGGTCTCCCCACTGCAAATTCCTCCTCCTATTTTTATTTCAGTGGAGCATGGGAGACCCTTGCCACTTACCAGTTCCTACCTGCTAGGGTGGTTGCCCATGGAGAATTCTCACTGATTGGGACCTAACTGCTAGGGCTAGAACAAGGGATACCAATCAATGGGAATTGGGGTAGTGATGACACTGTCATTGTAGTTCAGGTCACCCCTCATATAATTATACTTATAACATGCCACTTCTGCCATGATCCTGCAGCCTGAGCCTGCACAGTGGAGTTGAGGTAAGCACATCATATGATACTGCGCTCTCCTCCCGCAGTCTGAATCTGTTCAGTAGAGATGAGACGAGGTCACACCAATAACCCTACCTTTTTCCTGCAGTAGCATCTATTCAGTAGAGTTAAGGTTAATGTTTTCTTTATACGTGGCCTCCTCCTGCAGTCATCTCCTGTTTAGTTGAGGTGAGCATGCACTAACAACCTTGTCCACTCTATGTCATGAATCTGTGCTCTCCTCCTGCAACTGGTGTTGATTTATGGTTTGACGATAGTTGAAGTGAGCATAAGGTACAGTATGAATGTGCCCCAATCATGTCAATCATGTTGGCTCTCCAACCTCTTGTGTGCAAGTATTCAGATGGTCATGTTCTTATTCTGCTCATCCCTGCAACACATGGGACTCATTTGCCTCATTCTCCCATTTTCCTGGATGAAGAGTATACCCTGAAAGAGATCAGATGCAGTCTGTCCCTATGGAGCCTCTGCCATTAGGTGTCACACTATGAGTTTCCTTTGAGTGCTTCTGAAGGGAACTCATCTAGGTAAATTTTTATACTGACCCTTGCACCACATCAACATGGGATTCTATCTCCATCATGTGAAGAGGTTTGAATCATCTCGGAGGTTAACATTTTCCTTACCAGAAAATGTATTTCTGATAGATACTCACCTCTACACGCACCTTTTATCCCTTCCTCCCCACTTTCAGTGCACCATAGTGTTCTTTGCCTTGTCAAAGAATGAATATTCCTGAGTGCAAAAGCATAGAGGGAGTTAGTGCACAAGGAGGTGTGTTACCCTCCTATTGGTGTAGGGGTTTTGCTGCATGATAATATCCTTATGCAGTTTTGCAATTCACAAGAAATCTTGTGAGATTAGGTGAGAGTTGCTTAAAGACTAGTGGCATGCAAGTCTCTAAGGCAGATTCATGGGGAAAATAGCTTAATTGTGTACAGAAGTGAGTATCTATCGGAAGTACATTTTCAGGTAAGGAAAATGTTGACTTTAATTAATTGATACAATTAACAATTAAAATATAAGTTGATATTAACTGTCTTTGCTCAATTGATATTCTTGTTGTTTTAGGATCGCTATGACAGTATTCATTCACACACTAATCAGGGAATTGAGTTGTTGGAGAAGTATGGACAGTTTGTAAAAGAGAGATGTTCTATTGAATCTGATTATGCCAATAAATTAAGGTTGGTTTGTACTTTCACAAAAATGTAGTTTTCACAATTTTAAAACTGTTATATGAATCTGTTATTTTAATTTAATCAACATTTTGCTTTGATTGTAACAGTGATATAGAACATGCTTCACGAAAACATTGCTTTCAAGAAAGGTAATAAAAATCAAACTAAAAACGCAACTAAAGCTTTTTCTTATAGTTATATCTTGCAGTATTTTTTTTTTCTTAATAAATTCATTCTATTTTTATCACTGATATCATGATTTATCTATTGTCAGTTTTGAGCTTTTTGTGAGAAATTTCTAGTCATTTATTTTCAGGTTCAGTTTTATGTTTTCGTATTTGATCATTAATCCCTTCTGTGATTTGCCCGAGATGACTAAAGCACCCTACATGTTTCAAAAAACATTTCTTCAAGTTAATTCTGGCAAACCATTTTTCACTGTACTTTTAATATTTGTCTGAATTTATTTGCATATCATCATGTATTATGATCAGTGCTCACTAGGTGGCATTGGAAATACTGTTATAGCTGATCTCTGTTGGATTTATTCTGAATTATGTATCATAAATGCTGCAGAAAATCATTCCTATTCTTTACTGTAGTTTTAGTGAAATAATATATTTAATGTATAAATCCACATACACAACATTTATTTATTGAGTATATTTTGTGCAGAAATATAATAACTGATCATAAAAAGAACATTTGTTACATTAATATATATAAATATAGGCTATCAGAAAAGTGAAATAAATAAAACCTGACTCTTTTTTTTTTTTAGCTCATTTCTAAAAAAGGCCTGACATGGAAGTGGTTAATATTATTAATTTGGTTAATTTCAAAAGGAAAAGTGTTATTTTGCACAAGTTAAATGATCAAATGCTATGTTAGTAAAAATATTAAAACTATATTCTAACATTTCAGCTTTTGGTCAGTGCTTAGATGCCAATTTTATGATCCTAAATGTAGGTAAAAAGTTAAGATAATTCACATTTATTATAACCTACAGTAGTTTTATCTTGTTACCTTTTGGTATCTTCCAGTGTATTAAAAAGCTGGTTGGTAATAAACTTTATTTCTTCCTAAACTAACCCCAATATTCAATTGCAGTTTTCTAAGTCATCTTTTGGAAACTTTGTTGTATATTCACTTGAAAATTAGAATGGTCATTCCTCATTATATGCAACTAAATAAAAGATCAATATCAATCATCTTTATGATAAAAACGTATTAGTCCAGTGCATTTATAAGTATTCTGGAAAATTTTAAATTATTTTATCAGTAACTTATTTTCTGTGAATTTTAATTTTTAATACACTGCTCAGATCAGGGTCAGTTGTTTAAAGATGACATTTAACGTAAGAACTCCATGCATGATCAGTGCTGGCCTAGCAAGCACCTGGTCCAAGTAGCAGGGTGATCAGATCAGTGGCATGACTGAATTAAGAAAAGGATCTTAGTATAAATGTTGATAAGTCACTCAAGCCAATGAAGTAGTGTTCTGTTGCCAATAGCAAAATTAATAGAATTTTAGTGTGTATTTATAGACATACTGATAACAAGTCAGATACTTTTCTTTTGATAAAAATCACTGGTTAGGCTTCCTTCTAATATGATACCTTACCTCTTCTCACATATAGCCTTGAATTGGAAAAACTATATGTGAGAAAAGGTAATTATCTATTGGAAATACATTTTCAGTGTTGGAAAATGTCAACTTTAGAATATCTTGTGGTTTTGGTCTTCTTACCTGTGAAAGGACATTGACGTGAAAGAGTTCAGAGGAGGGTTACTAGGATGAATTCAGAAATGGAAGGGTTATATTATAGGGGTATGTTATGTTCTTTTATTTTGTCTTGAGAAAACAATGGTAAGAGGTAATCTCATTGAAGTTTACAAAATTACTCATGGAATGATAGAAGCCTCTGATTTATTTGTGCTGAATTCCAAAGATATTATGACAAGAAAACACAAATTAAGATTTGAAAAAAAGGTATGTTAAATTTCAGTTTAGACAGTTTTATTTTTCTACATATAACAGGGTGATTAACTTATGAAATGAGTTGCCATTAGCAGTAGCAGAGGCTGGCATCTTGTAGGAGTTTAAGAGATGAATTTCATACGTCTTGAAAAACAAAGGGTTCAATTTTTACATTTTCATGGGACTGAGTATATAAGGATGGCCTTGAAAAGAGAAATGATTCCTGGCTGTCTGCATGAAACTTCAATTGGTCACCTTGTGCTTAAGACTGGCCTTCTCATGGATGCTTACATTTCAATAACAGCAGTAGCATGCAGGTGTCGAGTAAGACTGGGAAACAACTCTGATTGAGTGTACTTCTGTGTTGCTCAGAATTTACTGTCAGTTAAATAATTTTAACTTTGTTAACATTGTCTTTTCTTTTTTTTTCCAGGAGATTAGTAAAGAGCTACCAACCTAGAAAGAAAGGTGAAGATGATAACCAGTAAGTGTTGCATCAGTTTCTCTTTTAAAATATTTAATTTTTATGTGATGATTCATTTTCTGTAGCTCCTGAAAACACCGTAGAGAGAATATCAACATCTGATGTTTATAGAATTTTTAATTTATCCAAATTTTTGCCTTGTAGTTAAAACTTAAAATTAAATGTTCTTTGAAAAATAAGAGATGATAGAGAGGCATTTACATTCAATTTTATTAAAGTTTTTAATTTCTAGCTAGACATTTTAGCAAGACTTGACATGCAAGTAATATTGTGGATGTTCCTAAAATCACAACGAAGAACAAAGAATTTTTATGTTGTGAATTTAATTATAGTACATTGAAGAAAACAGTTAAAGGATAATTAAAATGTATATTATTTTACTAGTGAAAAGCCAAACACATCCATCAGCATGAAATAATGAGAATTATCTTCCAAGTTTATTTTTATTCAGATTTGTTTATGCTTATAATAAGAAAGCTTAAGCATATCTATTTCCAGTAAAAGATATCGTTAAACCTGTTGTTGTTTTTTAGGTATTCATCCTCTCAAGCTTACATTAGTATGTTAAATGAAGTTGGTGAAATTGCTAGCCAGCATGAAATCATTTCAGAAAAGTTAACAGTTAATATTGTAAAAGAAGTTCAAAATGTGACAAAAGAGCTAAAAGATGAAAGAAAAAAGGTTAGTTTGTGCATTACAAGTTTTTCTTTAATGAAAATAAGAATGTTTCAGTCAGAATTTTCTAAATATACATCATATAGATGTGTACAGTTTATATAAAATCGTTGATACCTAATATAACATGAAATTAATATTAATTGACAGTACATCAATAAATTATCACTATATCTTTTAATGTTGGAAATTAGTTGAAATATTAAGATCAGTGATTGGTTCATTAGAACTGATCAATTATAATTGATTAGTGACATTTTCTTTATTTTTGAATAAGTTGAAATAAATAAAAACATTAAAATTTCTTGTGATTATTTGGAAAGTATATACACTTACTTTTCAGGATAAATATGTAGCAAAGAGACACGAAAAATTTCTGAATTAAACTTTGTCTCCATTAATTTTAGCTCATAATTTGATATCTTCTTAGACTGAAGCTCAATAAATACTCTATTGAGGAGGTAGAATTGATTATCACCACCACCATATTCAGCGATAATATTTACAAAAACTCAACTGGCTTGAATAAATCATAAAAAAAAATCAGACCAAAAGCCAGTAAATACTTTTGCTTTCAGTTTCACCAGTCATAAGAGTATAAACAGTTCTCTAGCTGTAACATTTTCAGAAACGGATTTTTTATTTATAGTAATAAGATATGAAAAGATATTAAACTATTTAATCTATTGCATGCCAGTGGATCAATGGTAAACTTGAGGGCTTTAAATGCTGAAAATCAGGTTTCAATACTTGTGGTTGGCACAGCACAAATAGCTCATCTTTAGCTTTGTGCTTAATAACAAACAAACAAATCTAGTGTGTTGCAAGTTATTTTTCTATCATCAGTTTTGCTTATAAATAATGTTTATATTATTTATTGTATTGTATAGAAATGTACAAATATTTTGTTTTGTAAGTTATATCTGTTCTTCAGTTTTAATTTCCTTAATGTTATTGATGAAAATGTTTAATTTATATATATATATATATATATATACATATCATTCTAAAGATTATTTTCCATCATTACCTTGGTATATGGATATTGGAGTTTAAACCTGATCTCTTAAACTCAAACCTTTTGAGATATTATTTGGATTACTGCTAGAAATAAGGGTACCCAAATGATGAATCAATGCATTCTAATCATTATATACTATTTTTTTATGACACCTAATTAGGTTAGAATATTCAATTAGAAATTAAATACTGTGCTAATTGTTTGATCTGATTTTTATAGTTTGCTTTAGTTATAAAGTTAATGATAATGTGCATAATCTTATTTCTTAAATCTTACCTACCAATTAAAAAAGTCTGACACTCTTCTGAGTATAAACTGTAAAAATGCAAGGTGTTCTTTTCATAAGATATAAATTATATTATAGTATTTTTCTTGAAAGTTTGGTATATTTCAAGACCTTATAAATAGCTTAAAGAAATCATCTAATATTTCAGTATCTCAGAGAAGGTCAACATCATCATGGTCAGCTACAGAATGCCTTCATAATGCTTGAAAAGGTAAGAAAAATATTGGTCAACACCTTAAAACTATAGGTGCAAAACTGGGAAGAATATTGTTCATTTGAGGCATTATGGAGTATGTTTTGAAATGGCCCTTTGCAGTTTTAAGCATTGGGGGAGTTTAGTGTTCATTGTTTAGGTAAACATTAATTACTGCAAAGTGGAAGTTGTTGAATAATAGGTGTTTAATCACTTCAGTAGACTTGTGTCCATGGCTTTGAGACTGATTTAAAATCTGTCACGACTGTTCTTGTTGAAGTTATGTTAAATTAATTTTCAGTAGAGGATACAGATTTGTATAATAAAATGTAAAATCACTTATGTGTGTTGACCAACTCTGAAGATTTCAAGTGTTTTTGGTTGTGTATGATTAATAGTATTGACTTTTCTCTTCAAAAGTTCTTAAATTGACTTGCAGATAAAATTTTGATAAGGATAGACCGAATACCATTTTTATCATATAGTCTTGAATAGCCATTTTGTTTTTATATATATATATATATAATACAGTTTAGCATAGACTTAAATATATTAATGAATCCATGAAATGTGCTAATCAATAAAAAAAATACATGAAAGCAAGGTTTAAGTGTCAGAACCTTACTAAATCTCGCAGGCCACCACATGTGGACAGGAAACTGCATACATTACATACATACATGTTAAGAAGGACTTAGTGATACTGCAGAACATATAAATTGGATTCAGTGGTGTGCTGTGGATTCACATTAGTATTTTATCACCATCTACTGCTGATATATAATCAACGTGCAAAATACACAGTTTTCTGCCCAAGTTCTGTTGTTATACCAGTGATAGTAGTTTGTAACTTTGAGCATTTAACTCCCAGCTGGAATGGTCATCAGTTCAGAAATAAAGGTAGAAATGTTGCAGAAAGTATAATAGTTAGTTGAGGATTATGTTGAAATCATTAAATTGTGCAAGGACACTGCTGTTATGTTTGTGGAAATAGATGGTTGAGTTGGACAATGAGTGCACGGTGAATGTCCAGTCAAATAACTGCCACACAGGCTTCCTTCTTGAAGAATCAGGAATTTTATCAATACTATAATCCAGCAAATATTAAAGGATGGGATAATTAATCTTCAGAATTCTTAGGAATCTCAGTGGTAATTGTCAGAAAAAAGGAAGGAATGCCAAGGTTCTGTGTGGAATTTTGATGGATGAATGCATTAACATGAATTGATACCTTTCAACTACCAGATATGAATATGGATACATTGGAAGTTGCTTGTTGGTTCATTATACTAGATCTGATCACTGGGTGATTGAAGCTTGTGAATAATGAAAATAGTCCTAAGACTGCATTCACCACCCTGGAAGAACTGTATAAATTCTGTGTCATGCTATTCTATTTATGTAACATGTAACAGGCTTATGGAGTTAACCCTAAAAAGATGACAATGGTAGGGGCGTCTCATGTGTGTGGAGACATTATTGTATTTGGTCACACATTTCAAGTGCAAATGAGAACCTTACAGTGCATCAAGAGCCAGGTTTGAAATTTAAACCCATTAAAGTGTACATGGAAATTAAGTTTTTTTCTATCATATATTAGATATGATTAGAGTGTTCAATGATTTCATGAAGATTACGATTGTCAAGAGCTGGCCACAGTGTGAAACCAAATGAAGAGTTCACAACTTCCTAGATCTTGTGTGATGTTCTTGGTGGTTTTTGGCCAATTTCTTCAAGATAGCTTCATTACTGTCTAAATTGATTGAAGTTAATACACTTTACCTAGATGCAGAAATGTAAAGATATGTTCAAGTTCTTGAAGCATGCTTTGATTGAAGCATCAGTGCTGGCTAATCCTCTTCAAGACTATCCATTCATTCTGTATACAGATGCCAATGATAGTGAAATTGGAGCAATTTTGTCACACATATGGAATGATTTAAGAGTATGTAATCATGTAAGAATTTGTGTGCTAACTGCTTGCCCCCCAGTGGCACAGCGGTATGTCTGCGGACTTACAACGCTAGAAACCGGGTTTCGATACCCGTGGTGGGCAGAACACAGATAGCCCTTGTGTAGCTTTGTGCATAATTAAAAAC